GCTGGGCCTGTCTCCCCAGCCTTCACCACCATGCCCTGCTGTGGCCACTATGGATGTGATGAGTCCGCCTCAGGCTGACTGCCACTCAGTGTGGTGGCAAAAGTTAAAACTGACTTTCAGTTCTTTGTGTGAGTGGTGGAAGAAAGACCCTTGGACAAAATACATTTCAATATAGAAGATGAGAGAAATGGTGGATCAAGCGTATTGTAAACAGATTTCAGCTGGAATTGGCTTATTTCACACACTCATGTCCACTAATGTAAGAGCCATGCATACAATCTAACCAACACACAACCCAACTAATATCAAATGCAAGTTCTATCTTTATGTCATGGTTCATGTGAAGCATTCATAGATAAGAACATTTTACCAGTGAAGAGTCTGCTACAAAACCCAAAGCTAAAGATGTGAGAGCTCCAGGACACCTAGGGTCTTTCCGGAAGCAGGATAGGAAGGCGGTTCTGGAGATATTTCTTAGATACACTGTCACACACAGGAGTGACCTTTATGCTTCATCCCAGTCCCCCTACCCTTAGTTCTAGCCCTCAGTTAAACTTGGGGTTACTCTGGAGCATGCTCTGCAGTATGAACTACACGTGTTTGAGTTGACCACCCCACGTTTAGGTTAGCTTTTGTTTTATTTTGTGTTTGGTACTAGGAATCAAGCTCATAACCTCACGCTTGCCAGGCAGACCCTGGCTGGGCCATTTCCCTGGTCCTAGGCTAGCTGATGAATGTAAGCAACAGAGGAATATTCCCAGTGACATTTATACACCATAGAGATAACTATTCAATAGACGTGACACTGTTCACTTAGGTCAAGACAACTTAATACTCTAGTACAGTCACAGTAGAGATGAACACAATTATCTAAAGTGTGAGCAAAATAGTTAAAAATATAATAAGCATAATATTTTATATATTCATTCTTAAACAGATACCTATTGGGCCAGCAATTTGTTCATTTATTCATCAAAGTTTTAATGGACCAGGAACTGTTTAAGTTTTGAAGGGACCAAGATAATTAAGATTAATTAATTTTATTCAATAACTATTGAAAGTCTACTATATGACAGATTCTGGTTTTAGAAGCTAAGAATAGCGTATAAATATAATGTCATGCAGTGTGAAGCATTGGAAAGGAAGACAGGTAAATACAAGGTCAGGGAGGAGTGTGGTGTGTGTGTGTGTGTGTGTGTGTGTGTGTGTGTGTGTGCGTGTGTGTGTGCACATGTGTTAAACAGTGTGGTCAAGTGAAACTAAGGAGGGTCTTGGGTAAACATTAGGCTAGGGTAATAGCAAGTGTACAATTTTGAAGGATGGAAGGAGTTTGGTGTGTTTCAGGAACAGCAAAGTGGCAGCTTTGGCTACAACAGAAATATACCGGAGGAGAGAGTCAGGATACCACCAGAAGATGATGGCCATGTACTTATAAGGGGAAGACCAAGAAAACAGTAGATTGAGGGAAGTAAAAGCTTCTGTTAGGACAAATGAAGTCTGAGTGCTTGTTAGACATCTACATGGACAGTTGACTGGGTGTTCTGAGGTTTTGGATGGTAGAGATATAAATTATCAGTATGTGATAATATTTTAAGACACGAGACTAGATTTGATTAGCCAGGACATGAATTTAAATGAGGAAAAGGACCCAAGGAACTGAACGGTGAGGTGGATGGGTTGAGATAAAGGAAGTGAACAGGGGAATAGGAAAGAGATTCACTAATAGGTGGAATAAAACCAGGAGAACGTGATACCAGGTGAAGTAAGTGTTTAAGGGAGTCTGTAGAGCAGCTTCTAAGAGACCAAGAGGAGCGGATTGGGTAAGGCATGAACTCCTCCTTTAAGGAGCTCACAGCATAGTAGGAGTGGGAAAATAAGGAAAGACATACACTGTTACACCACGGTGGGTGCGGTGTCCTGGGGTGTAAGTACACTTCTGGGGTGGATTGGAGACAGGGCAAGCAGCTCGCTTACTACTTGGGGATAAACAATGCTTTGGCATCCTGTTATTCAGGAGGAAGGCATAAAACCAAAATTTCATAAAACTTTGAAAATCTTTGCTTTTTTATTTGGTTGTTGGTTTTTCTGCCACTAGTCATGCAAAACTAATGCTTCCTCTTGTAATTTAACATCCTACTACTGTTGATCTACGTAGGCGTAGTTGTTAATTATCAATATACTGGTAACTATTTTATAAGGACAATAATGCTCTCCTAGAGGATACTGTTGCAATTATATTTTTCCTTGATGTATTATCTTTTAATTCATTTTGATAGCTGTATGCAATGTACAGACCTATTCTTAATAATAAGAGCTACCAAAAAGACCAATACTTATCATATACGAGGCACTGAAAAATTTCTCTACATTAGTTCATTTTGTTCTCATGAAAAGTTTAAATAGTTCAAATATCTTTACTGTCCTTGTTTTCACTTTGGAATATGGAAGCCCAGAAAGGCTAAGTAACTTGCTCAAGGAAACAGGGACATCGGCAGAGCCAGAATTAAAATTAGGTTGTCTGGTTTCAGAGTTCATCATTTTGAGTTAGAATGCTGTATGTCCATCCTTAATATTGTACATCTCCTTTCCTGGGCAGGGAAGATATTAGTGAAAAATCTTCAAAGAGAAATCAAAGTCTTTGACCTCAATGTAATTTTCTAAAGACCCAAAAACCTAACTGCAGGTAAATAGGACCAAGGAATAGGACCCAATGGTGCTAGGTCAAAATGGAAATTTTACAATAAATATTATTCTTTTACAATAAATTTCAGACACTCACTTAACACCTACTGGTCTTGTGTTCAACCAGCATGAGGTATGTGTGTGTGTGTGTGTGTGTGTGTGTGTGTGTGTGTGTGTGTGTGAGAGAGAGAGAGAGAGAGAGAGAGAGAGAGAGAGAAGCAACTGGTGTTTTGTGATGGAGAAGATCCCTTTGCTAATAGAAATGTGATTCTAGAGGTGTGTGACTTGGTCTTTGTTTCCCTTCTAACCTCACTGAGATGATTATGTACTTAAAAAAGTATGAAATGAAAATGAAGGCAACAATATTTAGGAATGCCTACTATGGGTACAGAATTGCTCTCCCTGCAGTGGCTATGATTTCTTGGAAGCTAAAATAATATAGTAGCCAAAGTCTTTGAGATATTTGATGGGCAAAGCATGTAACTTATTGACATATAAAAAATTTAATGGGAGCAGAATTTATCGGTGGTTTAGCATTGGTTCACTCTTCAATGTTTTTAAAATAGCAACTGACTTTATTTCTACACCCAGAGTTACCCTTTCTCTTTTTGGCAGCCCTGTGAATGGTCCACTGACCAGGTAGAGATTTGGATAAATAATTTTCTCAAAATTTGCAATTTCTCTCTTTAGTAGATTTTGAGTTCCACTTTTAAATGTTTTTTAAAAATAAGGCACCAGTCACATTTCTTTTCCTGGCAGAAACAAAATGTGGAATAAATAACTTTTGCTGTGATGTTTTTGGGACCGGAATCATAGGAACTTTCCCAAGGCAGAGAGCCATAAGTTGTATAATCTTTTTTCTCAAAAGAAAAGTCTATCTGTGCTTTTCTTTATTCTAGTCTCATTAAAATGTTCTTTTCTGGTCATAGTTACTATGTTTTCAGAAAAGCTTAAGGGATCCAGTGTTAAAATATACTCTTAATTTCTATAGCAAGTATGCTAGAAGATGGCTACTGTACTCTCTGTGATTCTCTCCGGTCTGCTATGTAGAATTGTCCCAGAAGCAAGGGAAGACTTAGGTGAACATCTAGCCCTGGAAAAGGAACTGCTTCCCGTAGGAGGAGGACTTCAGCTGGCCACCACGCAAAGTAAACACTCATGCTGCTTTCCTGTGGGTCATTTCCTCTTTGCTGATCCTGATCCAAAGCCAAAGTGAAGAAAGAAATTTTCCTCTTACAACACAAACCTGATAACTCACTATCCCGAGCACCAAGTTCAATGCCAGTTATAAAACCTAGGTTGCTGTAAGCCTGAAAACTTTCATGAATTTGCACATGAAAAAGATGATTTCTTTTGAAACGTAAGAGAAATGGTCAGAGTCAAAAATGGGAAAATTTAGATAATGGTATTACCGACAAGTACACCTATAAACTTCAGAACATTTGAAAACTAAAAGTCCACAGAAACAAGGAAGTTCTGACTATAGTACCTTAAGTGTCATGCTTTAAACTATCATATGCTCAATTTTGTTCTTTTCAGACATACTTTAAAATGATTCACATCTTATTTGTATTTGTAATTTTACTTTTAAAAACACATCAATTAAAATATTTCTTTTAGTGTAAGATTTACATTGCCTAATTGATATTTTAAAACTTTTTGATGCTTTTTCTCCTCATTTACAGCCCCAGGAGAGTGAAAACACAGTATTTCAGCATCATGAAAAAAATGAGTATTTTATATATTCATCTTAGCCTTTTCATGTATGAGAAAAGCAGCATTAGGCAAATAGATAAAATGTGGTAAGATTTCTTCTATCAGTTGTATGTTTAGTGGCATTTTCCTTTTCTTTGATAGAAAGAATTATAATGCAAGTACACTATATTTTAAAATGTTCACAATAAAAACTTGATCAATTTTCAGGCATATTTCAAGTTAAATCTCTGGTCCCAAAGTCTAGAGACCAGTTCAGGGTGTTTTCCCAAGGTTCAAGGTAGGGGAGGGGAGAAAGGGTGTTATAATCCTCACTGATGCATACATTCTTTTTTACTTTTTGTACCGGGAATCGAACTCAGGACCTTGCACTTGTTAGGCAGGCGCTGTGCCACTGAGCTAAATCTCCGGTCCTTGATGAACAAATTCTTATCTCTACAATTCTGACACAGCCACATTATACCAACCTATCTGGTGACTGCCAGGCCCATGCCAAGTCCTGCCATTTGCACTAAGCCAGGTCCTGCAGAGCCTGGGCTGCCACCTCTCACCCAGTGTTCCCCGCGGGACCCAGAGCCCCAGAGCGCTTGGCCACTTCGGCTTACCTGCATAGTGGTCAAACACAGTGGGCACATACTCCTCCGGGAAGGCGTCGTTGGCGTAGCTCATCAGCAGGCAGGTTTTCCCCACGGCGCCGTCCCCAACCACCACACACTTCAGCATCTTCTTCTCGTTGCTGTCCTGGCCACCACAGCTGCAGCTGCTGTCATTTACCTCTTTGCAGTTCATTCTTGCGGCTCCAGATGCCGTGACTGTGGGAAGTGAGCAGCAGGCTGGAGTTCACTCTGCCTTCCTTCCTTCGGCTACCTTAGGCAAGTCCCAGGCTGGCACAGGCTCTGCTGCTTACCATGTTGGCAGAGAAAGGTGACACACACTTGGGGGCATGATGAGAAGGGTCAGTCCCTGTCCCCTATTAGTTTGAGCTAGGAAACCCTCATTGCCACAGCATTCTGGAGGCATCCGGGCAGTGTAGAAATTTCAGTAGTTGGAGGGCTTCACGCTACACTCCCCATCCCCAGGCTGGCTGGAGACGGAGGGATTTTGCTAAATCTTCCCCATTTCCCACTTCACCTCTAACATGGAGGAAAGCTGGGCTTTTTAATGGAGTTTTCCCCTTGCTTCCTCCAGCTTGCAGAGTGTCAGGAAATCATGGGTTTCCTGCCGCATTCCATATTAGGATCAGTGGGCTGGGGAAGGCTGCAACAATGGGAGCTCTGTGTGTGTGTGTGTGTGTGTGTTTGTGCTTCTGGGGAACGATGCCAGGACCTGGAGTGGGAAAACACTAGGGGTCCCTCTGCAGACGCAAGCTGTCAGACTTCCTGTCCCACCCGCTGCTGGGGAGGCCATGTGCTTGTGGCTGGCTGGGCAGAAGCTGAGGAGGGGTGGGAAGAGGGAGCTTTTGCTACAGAAAGGGAGGGAGCGCTTTGGGTGTGCAGAGAGAGCCACCCCAGCAACTGCAGGATAACACATGACATCATCCCTCTCTGAGTCACCCGTTAAAACTGTGCGAACTAAAAACAGACAGTTTTTTACTTACTTCAAGGAGAAACTTTAAGTGATTCTTTTCTGCAATGAAGGAAAAAACTTTCATAGTTACAGTGTTTTCAAAGGGCAACTTCTGTAGGTCGTAGGTATGTGTGATCAGGTTCACAAGAGACTGCAGTTGAGCTTAATGCTCCAGCATGTATTTGGGATACAAACTTTGTGTGTGTGTGTGTGTGTGTGTGTGTGTGTGTGTGTGTGTGTGTATGTCTTTTTCCTTTTTATCGGTACCAGGGATACCAGGGATACCAGGGATCGAACTCATGACTGCCTGCTTACAAGACAGACTCTTATGCCGCTGAGCTAAATTCCCAGCCCCATAACTTAAAAAAAAAAAAAAAAAAAAAAAGGTTGTAGCACCCAAGAAATCAATCAGATGCAGGATGTTTGCATTTTCTTGTTAGTAAGTAACTGGTAAAAATGGGTAGATACAGAAAGACTTTTTGTTTTGTTTAAAGTCCCCAGTGCTGTTTTTGCTCAGATATTTCCTTTTTCAAGTTAGTCCTGTCCCCTTGAATCAGCTTGGACCTCTTCAATTACAAAGGAGCCATTGGCAGCTAATTTATTTGTCTGGTGGCTCCCTCAAAATGAAGCCCCTTTTAAGTTCTGCTTCTGATTAATGTTCTTGGTCTTGGAAAAGAAATGGAGCTCTGTAAATGTTTTTGACAAATGGGTTAAAATAGGGGAATTTTTTGGAGGGATTTGGAGAAATTCAGATTCTCCAATTGCTCTGAGTTTTTCTGGGGGAGGTGGAAGGGAGAAAAGTATGTTTAGTAAGTGGCTATCAGTAACATATATTTATATATATGCCAATATGTAATAGATACAGTCCCAGATTGTTTTGCTTTGTGTTAATTTTTTCATAATGCTTAGTGTCACAATATTCCCTCCCTGCAATGGAGTAGTGTTTCAGTTAGGTTACTCAACTAGGTGGTTCTGTAGCAGCGAACAGTTCCCAAAGCTCAGTGACTTAAGTAGCATGTTTCTTGTTCGCCTTGTATCTCCATCATGTATGTTGTCATCTTTAGCCAAGCAGGCTGACAGAGCACTGATGATGAACATTGTGGCAGAGGAAGAAATGAATATGAGGAAGAGCCGTTGACTCTTAAAGCCTCCCCCCGGAAGTCACAGCTCTGCTCACAGTAGGCCAAAGCAAGTTGTGGGCCTTTGTTGGGTTGTCCAGGAGAATCAGGTACAACCTTACCATGGGCCCGGAAAGAGGAAAGCAGGAATTGCTAAACAGCCTAAGTGGGACAGCCAGACATTAATTGAGGTTGTATTTGCAATATGAAAGTGAGATGGTTTATGTTTAGTGCCATTTTTAAGCCTTTGAAGACAACTATGACTATGTGTGATTTATGTGCTTCTATATTCATTCAGTCTACCTGGAAGACCTACAATGCATGATAATAAAGTTGCAATTGGAAAACTTGTGTTTTACTTCTTCTTCTTCAAAAAAGAGTTGAGTATGAAGATAGAAGCTAAACAAGTCTAAGCAGGGGAAGGAGTCGTTGACAGTGCAGAGAATCCCTCGGAGGTGACCAGGACTGCTGAGCACAGTGTGATGACATGCGTTTAGCAGTGCTTTGAGGGGATTCTTCCTGTGAACTTGTCTGTGACATGAGCCATGGATGTGGGGCAGTGCACCATTTTCCGAGTTTTCAAACATAGGGCTGGTGCACTAAAAGCCTGGTCCCCTACAGCCTGTATTCCTCACTACAAACATCTTCCAGCCCACCACGCATGTGGCCTGGGAAGAAGCTGAGAGACAGGATTGAGGTGAAATTCTGTCATATCTTCCTGCCCTGGGACCATCAGGTATGGTACTAAGTCTATTCTGACGGGCATAGGGACTGTGAATTGAGACATTTAAGCCTTGAAGCAGCTAACGATGGGTCCTTTCACTCAGAGGTCTGCTATACTTGCTGGGTTGGATTTTATGCAAAGATGATTTATGGCTGTGGGGAATATTGGTTTTAGCTTGCAAAAATAAACTCATTTCATCACTGTTTACTGCTCCATAAATTTAATATTTATGGACAAAAATTTTGAGACATCTTAGTAAAAATAGGAAAAAAGTTTAAACTTTAATCTCAGCCTGCAGATTAAGTAGATCACATACTCGTAGGAGAATAAATATTTTAAAATATGGAAATATTCAAATATCAAAAGGCTGGCATGAATAAAGATGAAAAAACCTTAAAAACAATTTAGCATTGTTCTTACGGGTCTAGGGGTCCACAGAATGATTTGCTTGCCCAGGTAGAATGGTGAAGAACATACTTTGACTCTAAAGTTCCAAATGTGTAACTTTGGCAGTGGTATGAAGCTGCTCTCTAAAATATTTTGTACCAGATGCCTGTACTTTTGGGTCTCAGGCCATGTAAATAATTGAGTGGTGGTTACATAGCCATTAATTATTTGGTTTACCTCACCACCAAGTTTGTACAAACTTACCAGCACATGGTGAGATACAGTTGAGTGATATTTTCTGCTTCTTCCAAGGAATCTTCATTTCCCGGCTCCTTTCTGCCCTCCGAGGCTTGACTTCACACAAATTCCCCCAAATGGCAGCAGGGCACCTTTTTGCATAAAGCTTTGAAACTCTGATTGTTTCTAGTTTTACTGTGACTTTAGTGGAAGAGTTTACATTTCTTTCCTTCCTTCCCCCTTTTCTGTCTTCCCATCCCCTTCTCTGTCTCTATTCCTGTCTCTTGCACCCATCATGAATCATTTTCATTCTAGACAAAGTCCTCTCTGGGGCTACCCTTGAATCAGATGTGCAGTGGTGGTGAGGATGGGGTGGTGCCGTGTAGTTCTAAGAATGCTGACCCTAATCACCTGAGCCTACATCTCAAGATCGTTGGGGATGCTAAAATTGAACAATCTGTGCTAAGACTGGCCTGGCCTGAACCTTGTCCTTCCCTGGGGATGAGTTTTGCCATCAGTGATGTTTATGTATCTGTTTTTCATGTGTTGGGCCACTTTCACTGCCTCTGGATATTACTCAAGCCGTGTATTACATCATGCCATGTCTTATCGTATAAGTCACATTTTCTTTTTTTTAAGTTTTTTTTTATTTTAAAGAGATTAAGACAAAAGAGGACATAACAAAGCAGATCAGACCAGAACAATGCAAGGAACATAGCATTTTACCACAAGACAACCCATAATTAACAGTAACTACCATAATGTCTCTTTCTTTTAAATAGTTGAGCATAGCTTCATAAATGATAGTATCAAACAACAAAACAGTATAAAACCATTCAAGAGAATGAAAGTATTACAGGGCTTTCAGAACCAAGTAGCAGAGAACGAACAATGGCTACTATATTATCTCATTTTCCATAGAAAATTTGTTTATACTATCACACATAATAATATCCAGTAAGATATAACAGGATAGAACCAAAGGAAACTGAAAAACAGAAGCATAATAGGACTTCAGAATAAGAGGATACTAAATCAGCTCTGGCTATTCTAATGTCTTGTTTTCTTTAAAATAGCTGTTTATACTATCACAGATAATAAAACCAAACAAATTAGGATAAAACCATTCCCACTAATGAATGCAGACATTATAAGGCTTCAGAGCAATGTAATGGGGAATCATGATTACTATAAACTCTTATGTACTCTTACTATTAGTTACACTGGGGAGACTATACGGTATTTATACATGTAAGTTTGATTTTTATTTTTGCTTATGAGTATGGTCTCAAGCTGCGCCCATTTATTTATAAATATCTCAATGTGATCATTCTTTATAGCTGAGTAGTACTCCATTGTATAAAAATACCACAACTTTTTAATCCATTCCTCAGTTGATGCACACTTAGGTTGTTTCCAAGATCTGGCTATTACAAATTGTGCTAAACATGGGTGCACATATATCACTGTGGTATGATGTTTTCAGTTCTTCTGGGAATATGCCTAGAAGTGGAATAGCTGGAACAAATGGGACTTCCAATCCTAGCTTTTTGAGAACTCCTCAGACTGACCTCCACAATGGCTGCACCAGTCTATACTCCCACCAACAGTGCAGGAGAGTTCCCTTTAGTCACATTTTCTTGGATGTGTTCCTTTTGTAATTCCAGAGATGATTTTATTTTTCCTTCTCATCTCTTAATTCCAAGAGAAGGAGGTTACTTGCAAATCATAGACAAATGGGGCTTCTTTCAGAATAGAGAAGGCCCTTTGCTCAGTAATGATGAAGGTATGTGTGTGTGTTTCTTGAGTATTTCACTGTTGCATGGTTTAACTCTGAATGCTAAACCTTGCCTTGGAGGGAGTCTTGTGTGTTAGTGGATCTTTTTTTTGTACTGGGGATTAAACTCAGGACCTTGCTCGTGTTATCTGATTTAAAAAAATTGGCCTCCATCTATAGAAATTAGATATCAAAGACCATTCAAATTTCCCCTATCCAGAAAATATGGAGATATATCATAGGTTAGAGAGGCTTTTTTCCACTAATTCCTAATCTGTCAGATTGGAGAGATGTTTTGGAAAGCAGAACATTTGAAATTGAGTTTGTGTTGGATTGTTCCCGCATCAAGGCATCCCAGAGCTGGAACAGTTTGTGGAAATAGCCATCGTGGAGTCAAACGATCTTTGGTGACTACTTTGGCTAGCTACAGACATGGGCCCAAGAAGGATATTGG